TGGGTGAATATCAATTTTGTTCTTGATATGAAAATGACCTCATGCACACCTCAGAGGAAAACACTCTTGGAAAACAGAGGAAAACACACTGTTCCCTACTCACCAGTGTCAAAAGCATAGTAGCTCATTTGCAGTTCTTAAAATTTATTCCATTATTCATGATTTCACTGTAAAATGATGAATCTCTGAACAAGTATTCATCACTTGGGTGTGTTTTCCAACAAGGTAACAAAGTTGACATGCATGTTGTAAGTTTACATTGGAGACTGCCACATTGGATGGTACTGGTTGGATAGCTATTACATGTTTGTAAGTACACAAAGCGAAACAATAGACTGACCAATAAAGTTTATTAACGAATAGCAGAACAAAGCTGGAAAGTTTCTGATTATTTTATCAATTAGTTAATCATTCCCTTTTTGAACGTGGGTTTGATTATTCCAAACAGCAGTTGTTTTCTCCATCGACTTTCTTGCAAGGCTTAATCGACAATAAAAGAAGCATGCCGTGCATCTGGGGGCATTTTTCTTGCTTCAAGCATCCTTACACAAGTCATGCCATCCAGTTGTATTCATTCCACATTTTTGGCATAAGATTGGCAGACATAAGAAAATATTGGCCATTCTCTCGTGCCTTCTGACAGGAAGATTGCATTTTCATGAAGTGGTTTGTGGCTAATTGAATGGGGCAATGTAACCAAGTAATCACTGTAAAATATCGATCCATGATTTGATTAATTATTTGAGTAACAGAATGGCATAGGCATCTGTTGGTCCGTTTGGTATGTGCATCTGTCTACCATGCTTTACTCAATGAATGCCCTCCCAGCTCATGTATACGGACCACGATGTGCTCTGAAAATGCAACTGTGGAGAGGTGCCCTCGAACAAAACGTATGTGTACAAGCCACCGTTTTGTGTGCAAAATCTCTCTGACAGCCCAATAAATTTCCTCACCGTAATACTCGGCCCCCTCGTAGACATCCAGGGCCAACTTGGGGTAGGTTTCCAGCAGGAAGCGGGCAATCTCCCGGTGGGTCTTGGTGTTGTTGAGGTAGCACAGGTGCAGGATGGTCTCGCCCACCTCACCCCGTTTGGCCAGGTCCCAGCAGGCCTGGTGCTCCGTAAAGCGGTTGAAGGCCATCTGCTGGTACTCCTGGAACTCGAGCATCAGCTCGTGGTCCGACATGGTGTCCAGGATCTTCCTCTGAGAGCAAGAGGAGAGGAAAGGAAAAGGTTTAAAAATTAAACAAGCAATAGAATCTCGTAGCAAAGAATTCCAAAAGTCGCTTGATTCTTCATAATGTCAATAACTGCAGTTTCATTCACCAAGAGATAAATTTAGATTTTCCAAAAAATCGACAGGCAGTGGCCAACTTTTGATATACAGCCAAACACACAAATACCGATTAACGAGAGTCACTTGAAACAACAACAATAATCTTTATATCTATAGATATGTAGTTTTACCTGGTTCAATTTTAATTCTCTTTTTCTCTTGTCTTATGCTTGTTCACTGGGACTCATGGGAGAACAGTTTTTTATGAACTGAATGAGCCACCCAGTATAAATAAAAAATAATAATAATAATAATGACTCTATTAAAATAGCACCAAATTACCAGGGAATATGAGGCACATGCTTGCTTATCGGATTAATGGACATTCCAGAAACCATCTCATCTCCCTGTGGAAATGCAGCTCCATGCTGCCATTTCTGGCGGAAACGGTAAATCAAACACAAGACACTTGTATTTACCTAACTAGCATTGTGCAAGTATGACTTGTAACTGTTGATCATATTTCCACATTACTTCTGGAAAATTTTTGACAACTTTCACCCCATTCATTCAGCACAAAAAATTGTCCAAAAATCCTAACCTTTACGTACTGACCCTATTTAATCGGAAGCAGAGCTATTTTTTCTTGGCCTACATGCAACTAATGTGCTTCTCGGTGTAATATTTGTCTTGTCAAAGTTACATACGTTGCAAAAATATTCATGCACTTGTTACATCTCGCATTGACTTTTGTACCTCTACTTTAATAGGTCAATCAGCG